AAAGAAAGAAAGAAAGAAAGAAAGAAAGAAAGAAAGAAAGAAAGAAAATAAAAGAAAAAAAGAAAAGCTGTGGATTCCCACCATGCCCATAGATGTACCAGACTTTCCAAATAATCTTGCCATCTGGAAGCCCATTTTTGGTCTTTAAAGTATGTAAAGGCTTTGCAAAAGTACTCATAGGTGAAACAGCACAAAGCATGTACAACCATCTCAGAGAGAGCCTTCTGCTTCCAGGAATAAAGTCACACATTCACAGGTGCTTCCTGTTTTTTCAAACACCATGCCCACCTTCTGCACACCAAGCTTGCATTCTGCAAAATGTGAGCCCAACAGGAAGCTGTCTGCAAATTCAGGTAGCTTTTCTGACTCTTAATGAGGTCTTGAATATTCTTTCAGAGAAATGCCAGCAAAAACTGTAGTCATTTGGGGAAGAATAAGTCTGGAAGAAAAATACACAGAGGACTAGCACCAAGAGGGTGAGAATATTTTTCTGTGAAAAATGCTGTCTGCTAGTTACATATTTAAACAAATATATGTGTTTTCTTTATGTTTTGGGCTCCTGTGGGTAGAATTAGGTGAACTGACTGCAACTGGGTGGTGGTTGTCATTTCTCTGTTGTGAGGTAAGGAGAGGAAGAAGGAAGGTGAAGTAGAGAGTAGTAAGGAGAACTGTATGGCTGGAATGCCCCAACTAAGCTCAAGGGAAGAATTACTGGAAGAACTTTTCTATTTTTACAAGCTTGTCCTGAGATTTCAGAGCCACCAACTTGAAATGAGCATGTGGAGCATTGATTAAATTGTGATAGTGTTCCCAATAAGCTTTGATTAAACTACGCTGAGTAATGTCTTCTTAAAAATGGTCACAATGGGGTGCCTGGATGGCTCAGTGGGTTAAGCCGTTGCCTTCAGCTCAGGTCGTGATCCTGGGGTCCTGGAATCGAGTCCAGCATTGGGCTCTCTGCCTCGGCGGGGACCCTGCTTCCTCCTCTCTCTCTCTGCCTGACTCTCTGCCTACTAGTGCTCTCTGTCTATCAAATAAATTTGAAAATCTTTAAAAAAAAAAAAAAAGGTCACAGGTGGACTTGGAATGAAAATGGCAGGCTCTGTACTCAGTTTTCAAATGGGTTCGGAGAAGAAGTTGTTCAAGGCAATGAATGACAAGTCACATATTATAGGTAATAAATAATCTTGGGTAACATACTGATTTTTTTGTGATTAAAGTTCAAAACTGGAGAAATTAGTAATTTCTAGTAATATTTGTTTAGCTCCCAATGTACATTTTTAACAATTTTTTAAATTTAATTTTATTTTTTTCAGTGTTCCAAAATTCTTCCTGTGTACATTTTTATATTTTCTTTTGTTTTTTCTGTTTTTGTCCAATCTGTGTTATCAAATTAAGTTAAACTACATAAATGTTTTTGTTTCTTAAACTCTTTGATGCTTTTTTTTCCACAATGGAATTAAAATCAATAACAACAAAGATAAGCTTCTTCCAGTTAACAGGCAAAAAGGCTGGATGGGAGAACTGTCCTCTTCTAGGTGTTCAAATAAGTATCTGTAACCTATACCAGTTAGAACTGGTCCACATACATCCTAAAGAAGATGATATATAGCAGTAAATTAAAGGAACAAAGCTAAGGTTGAATAACTTCCTTTTGCTTGTAATAACAAAGATGGAAACACATGAACATTTTCTATAACAAAATCTTTCAAATACATATTTTGAAAAGTTTATACATCTAAGAGTTTGAAAAACTATGATTTTTTTAAACTGTGTAATCTGTCCTACACAAGAATTTTCCTCTTTCAGCTAACTCATGTAGTTTGGTAAAGCATCGTGTCACTGTGGGAGAATATCTATTGAGGAGCCCAACAACTAAATGCTATTGATTCAAAGAAGTCCTTGTGCTGAGGAATCTGACTTCCTCTCTGGACATACATATAACACGGTGCAAAAATACCAAATAATGACAAAGGTGAGCAGGGTTCCATCCCTCCAGTCTGTCACTTACTAAACGTCTCCAGGTTTCTCATCAGCAAAACGAGAAAATTGGATTAGGTATGCTCTGAAACCTTTTCTGGCTTTAAAATGTATTGATTCTTCAGCTTTGAGAAAGCCTAGAATAAAATATGGCACATGCTAAGTGTCAGATGAGTTGCTGTATTGGTTTTGAAGAGAGATATTACATAGGGCTGGAACAACTGAGAAGGACTCCATAGACTGAGCTCATGAGCTGCGTCTGGAAAAGGGGCAAAACCTACAAAGTCACAGAGGAGAGGCAGGAGTTTCCAGGCCCACTCAGCAGATAAGCAGACATTCGAATATGGCTAGATTCAGAGGATGTTCAAATATGGCCAGATGCACATCCGAGTACTATAGATAAAATCCTGTTTCTTGCTGCCTTAACATGCAAGGTTAATAAAGGTCACTTGTAGAAAAGGTTTAGTAGCTGAGGCAGATGATCTAATAGGCACAGCATCCTCAGAGGAGAGCCACCAAGATTGGTGGATTTCCATAAATTTTAATTCCAATATATTTAATACAGTGTTATATTAGTTTCAGGTGTACAACACAGTTATTCAACAGTTCTATACATCTTCCAGTGTTCATCACATGTGTGCTCCTTGATTCCCATCGCCTAGTTCACCCATCCCTCCCACCCATCTTGCCTCTGGTCACCATTAGTTTATTCTCTGCGGTTAAGTTTCTTGGTTTCTCTCTTTTTTTCTTTGCTTAATTGTTTTGTTTCTTAAATTCTACATGTGAATGAAATCATATGGTATTTGTCTTTTTCAGACTGACTTACTGTGCTTAGCATTATACTTTCTAGCTCCATCCAAAACGGGTCAGCTACATGCAAAAGGATGAAACTGGACTGCTTCCTTACACCATACACAAACATAAACTCAAAATGGTTTAAAGACCTAAAAGTGATACCTGAAACCATAAAGACCCTAAAAGAGAGCTCAGGCAGTAAAAACTCTTACATCAGCCATAGCAACATTCTTCAAGATTGGCTAGATTTTAAAACCAGAGCTCTCGGGGCATCTGGGTGGCTCAGTGGGTTAAGCCTCTGCCTTCGGCTCAGGTCATGATCCCAAGGTCCTTAGCTCAGCAGGGAGCTGAGCAAATAAATAAATAAATAAATAAATAAATAAAATCTTTAAAAAAAAAAAACAGAGCTATCTTTTAAATAGTGTAGTGTTCCTTAAGGAGATTGAGAAACTATGTCTTCTGGAACAAAAACTATGCAAAATCATAGGCTAACAGGACCATGGGCTTTAGGCAAGGGAACAAGTCTCTAGAGGCAAAAATGATACTATCCACCAACTAAGAAAGCAACAGCTTCCACTTTCAATTAGGTCTATGTGACTCTTTGTTCTGACCCCATTCTCTTCCCTCAATCAGTTCCTTTATGATCACTCTCGATTCCAGGCCAACTCAAGCTGTATGATCAACTAGCATTAGCTCCCACAACCCCATTTCTTTGTCCATCTGCTATTCAACAATCCCATTACTTGCTCTCCCAATTCTACTCCTGAGCGACTGAGCATCGTTGTAGAAAATTGTAACTGCTCCATGCAATGCATGGAGCACTGGGTGTGGTGCACAACAATGAATTTTGGAACACTGAAAAAAAAATTAAATTAAATTAAATTAAAAAACAAAAGAAAAGAAAATTGTAGCTGTGCTGAGTGTGGCCTCCATATATGTATGTATATATATATTTTTTAACTTTAATTAGACTGTCATTGTGATTCTACCATTTTTAAAAAATTCCTCCATAATCACCTTCTTAAAAAATTTTCACCACCATTTTCTTTATCCTAACATTCTTACTATTCTACCTTTTACTTTCTAAAGGTATCTTACATCTGGTATTCTTGAAACTTTTGATGTTCCCTGATACTTTCTCAACTCTCCCTATCATTTCATCTCTAGTTTATGCCATATCTTCACCCAGATACCTACCTTAGTTAACATTTAAAACATTTGCTATGATCCAGGCTCTTATCCACATAATATCACTTAATCTTTTCAACAACATTGGGAGGTAAATACTATCATCTCCATTTTACAGATTAATAAGATGGGTGCTCAAGATCACTTGGCCAGCAAAGAACACAGCCAGGATTTAAATTTAGGCAGTTTCAGCTCAGAGCTTACATTCTTTTCCCTCACCCTGACGGGAAGTGGGGAAGGGTGTGTATGTTTGGATGGGGGGTAGGATATGAACACTGATATGCATATATGATGTCATATCCAAGACCAATCTGTCTCTTTTGCCTCTGCCTTCTATCCCATCCTTACTCACCTACTCAAGGACTTTGTATTTGCTGCTTAACAAATCAGCTCAAAACCTGGTGGCTTAAAACAACAATCATACAGCATTGCTCACAAGTCTAAAGGTAAGCTGGATGTTTCTGCTCACATGGGCCAGTTTGGCTAGTTGTATCTGTATTCACTCACATAACCAGCTGGAGACCTACCTGGGACTGGATGCTCTAGAATAGCCCTAATCACATGTCTGGAAATTGGTCTGATGTCAGCTGGGGTGACAAAAGTGGCTAGGCCATGTGTCACTCATCATCAAAAACATCCAGGGCCTGTTCACATATTAGTTAGTGCTTGCAGGATCCCCCACCCCGACCACCAAGGGCCAAAAGAGAGCAAGCCTCTATGTACAATCGCTTTACAAATCTCTGTCTGTATTACCTGTGTTAATGTCTCGTTAGTCAAGCAAAGTCAGGGTCAGACCCTGAGTCACCAAAGGGAGCCACAACTACAAAAGCCTATAGACTCTGATGCATTAATTATATCCTACCCCTTCTCTTTAATCCATCCCTTTCCACTGACTCCTTTCCTTTATCTACCAATTTGGTGGAACATACTCTGTTCTAGAAAACCTCCCTTCTACCCCATTATCCCCTGAGGTTTTATGTAGCTGAGTCTATGAGTATTAGGGATTGACTGCATCACTGAAAGTTTTCTGAATTAACTTCCATGTAGAAAACAATGATATTGAAAGGATGAAGTAGTTTAAAAATATGCAATAACCATGATAATTGTAAAGAACTCAGACATTTATTCAGGGAGGAATATTGTTTAGGAATGTTGACACAGAGTGATAATAAGAAAGCAGACTTTTAGTTATATATTTTTTTTATTTAATTTTATTTTTTTCAGTGTTCCAAAATTCATTGTTTATGCATCACACCCAGTGCTCCATGTATTATTTGCCCTCCATAATACCAACCACCAGGCTCACCCAACCCCCCAAATCCCCACACCCCCAAAACCCTCAGTTTGTTTCTCAGAGTCCACAGTCTCTCATGGTTTCTCTACAGAAAATGCACCCCTCGGTACCTGTATCTGAGAAAGATGCTCCCACTGCTCTGTCCTTGCACACCAGTGCTCCAGAATCTTTCTCCTGAGCCTTAGCAAGGATGCAAGACATCTACCTTGAAGTTTCATCTTCATTTCTACCTCATTATCTTGAAAGATAAGACTAAAGAAGACTCAAGCTTTTCTCTGGCTTTCCCTAAGCTCTACTGAAGGGTATATATACTTTTAGCTTTAAAAATTGAACCTAACTGCTCAGTAATTTTCCAGCACTGTGTGAGTTTCCATTGCTCCACATCATTGCCCATGCTCATTATTTTAATCCTTTTTCAACTTAAGAGGCATAAAATAGTATATATTTTAATTAGCTCTTCCATGCTATAAAAGCCTTGTACGCTTCATTGTACAGAATACTGAAGTGAAGTTTTTCTTTTATTTCTCTTGCTACATCCCCCAATCTAATTTCTTTTAGGACTAATCTAATTCCTTTTAGTTTGTGATCTTTTAGCTGACAAATTAGTCACCAGTTTCTTCTGGGTAAATATATCTCAAAGCAGGTATTTACTTCACACAGTAACAGAAAAGGTAAATTATTTGCACAGTAGAGGTGATATGGTTGTGTCTATTCTAAGGTTATGAAAATGTCTCTTGATTTTGTCTCCAATTTTCATTCTCTTAAGTCCTCCCACCAGTTGATAACCACTGGCAGCAGCCAAAGCACTGAGTGTAAGGTTGTATTTGTGATATTTGCAGGTTAGATTAAGAAAATGAAGTTGCTGTAAGTCTGAAAAAGATGTGTTCCTGTCACTTTCCTACCCCTGCTGAGGGATTTCAGACATGAACAGATTTCCACTAGACTTGAATCATTTAAAAAAAAAGAAAAAACACCTCAGATAAGCATCTGAGTTCTGGGGCCTTTTACAAAAAAAAAAGAACTTCCTTTTCTTTATGTTTTAATTCCAGCATTTTGTTAGGAAGATGAAGGTTGCTTACTTCCTTTAGAATATTTTACGCAGCTCATGATTAACTTTCCTCTCTTATTCAGACACCATACAAGCTGGTGTTCAATTCAATGAAAGCATCAACATATCCATCAATGTCAGATCATTAACTAGAACATTATACAGTTATCAATAGACATTATAAACCTTTTTTAAAAAGTCACTGAAGAATCTTAAGTGATCTAAAAAATGTCCATGATATAAGGTCGAGTTATTGGATACACACACACACACACACACACACATTTTTCACATACCAAAATATTAACAGTGGGTATCTCTGAGTGAAGAGATTATGAATTAGTAAACACTTAAAAACACTTTCTGATTTTCAATAGTTCTACCAAAATAATGTATTATTTTTGTAATCCAAAATGATTAGAACAAGAAGTTATTAATAAAAAAAGTAACGTGGCAAAAGTTCTGGGAAGACTTAGTCTTATACGGTAGAAGCTTTGAGGTAGTACTATATACACTTATTTTCCCTTTTGCTTTCTTGAATTTGACACTGGCTTAAAAGAATAATGGAATTGTAACTCACTAGATCTATTCTGCAAATATGTATTCAATAAATTCAGACATGTACAGGCCAAGTTTGGTAGCCTGCTGGGATCTATTTGCATGAAGGAAAGAGGGTCTTGGTAGTGAAAAGTTATTATTTTCTTGATGGTTGATACCACTATGCCCTCCCAAAACCCCATCCACTATGGCATGGGGGAATATTTTAACCTCCCAAGCACTGGGTGGCATTCCTGTTGAGGTAAACAGGCATCATTACAGGAGAGTTGGAGTACACAAGCTTAGTTGAGGATATCCTTGTGGTAAACAAGAATTCATTAGGATTTCATAGAGTAATAACAAACTTCCTACTCCTTCAGAAAATAATCGTGAGAGGAATTAGGAGAGGAAGCTATAAAAGAGAATGAGTTAAATTAATGCTTTATTAATCAGTGTTGGTACAAAGCAAATAAGTCACAAGGCACTCAGTTTCATCAATATTCATCAAGGCATCATTACATTCATGTAGAAGCCTGACAAGGAAGAGAGACCGTCGATGGATGATGTCATGAGGGTCTTCCCCTCTTCTTCAGTTCCTATTACATCTATTATAATAATAATCTTAAATTCAACTCTTAGATCAAAAAATTCAGATTTTTGAAAATATGCTATTTTATCCTCATTTGTTAAAATCCCTATATACATTTTCCTATTTGGGGTGAATTTCAGTAAACTTTTCAAAGAAACTGAGCATGTGCTTATGAAATGGTCATACAATGTGTCTAGCACTATATAACATATTATAGAAGCTAAAGAGCTAAGACACTCTCTTTAAATAAAGATCTTAGGATCCTATTGGGGAGATAATAAACATACATGTAGCACACAAACAACATTACATATTACAGGAGGCATAGCAAGGTGAAGTATAGATAAAGAAAGTGGTCTAATGCAATTTTAGAATATAAACTCTCGATTTGGCTCCCCTGAAAATCTAATCTCAGTTCCTATTATTACTATTGGGCAAGTTACTTAAGCTCTGCATGCCTCAGCTTCTTTGTCTATGAGAATACAGTGAAAAGTTAAATCTCCTGAAGTAATCTATATGTCATATGTTTAGAAGAGTGTCTAATACATAGGTGGAGCTCAATAAAAACTAGTGCTTATCACTGTCATAGGTAAAGAAAAATAGTTCAGAGCATACATCTGATACTTGTAAAATATCAACTGCCAGAGTTGGACCAGACTTTTGACAAAAAGTGATGCCTTTTAGAAATGGCACGATCAGATTTCAAAGAACATTTTCAGGTTTGCATTTTATAAAAGGCCAAGGATTATTCATCCCAATGACAGCTACAAATCATTCCCAGACAGAAAAGAAAGTGGAAAGCGTATGTCAGTTGATTATTAACTTAAAAAAAAAATCTTAGATCAAAGATTTGAGATTTCTCTTGAAAGTTTGAAAAAGTCCACAGCTCACGATGATGACAATCCTGAGGATACAGGAAAATTATTTCCCATGCAAGAAGAAGAAACTATCTGAAGAAGAGAGAAGAGTGTGCCATGACATCAAAAAAGGTAAGAAAATAATATTTATTCAGTCAGTCATTCAGTCAACAAACATATTAAGAGGCTACTACATAAGACATGGCACTGGGATCTAGAATCTAAAATTAAAATAGTTCATACCCTCAAGAGTTTGTGGATAAACTATTAAGTGATAAAATGCAAGGTGATAAAGGTTAGAGCAAGTCCCTACAGAAAGCACACAAGGGGTATAAAAGACAGGATCAGGAACGGCCTTCTGGAGAAGAGGTTGTCTGGATGGGATGCAGAAGGATGAAGTACTGCAGGTACTTTACTAGGGCTAGAGCAGCAGTGTGGTAAAGCATGGCATGGAGCTGAGCTTAGAGACTGAGGAACAGGCCATATGAAGTTCTACCTTTACTCTGAGACCAAAGTGAATCCACTGAAAGATTAAAGGAAGGGGAATGATATTTAACTATTTTCATTTTTGTAAGATCACATTGGTTGCACACTGAAAGCAAATTGGAAAGTGGAACAGAACTGAGTTTTATAAATTTTGTAGCCAAAGATCTTGTATCATTTTCTATCTATATGGAGTCCATTAATTGCAATGAAACTCCCTTTCCCTTAAACCTGTGTGGCTTGCTGATCCAACCCAGTGCTATTATTCAACCATCATCAGTCCTCCCCATACTCCCACTCAGTTCCCTATAATCAATAATATGGCTGCTACAGTAGATGAAGAAAAGGAGGATGAGGTATGAACTTGCTTTTTCTCTTTTTCAAATAGAAAGTGACACTTGGGGAGTCCATATCTTGAGGAAAGAGTATTATGCACTGGTTAATTGCACAGGATCTTGATTAAAGGGCCAATTTTGCCCACTGCTCTCTAAGTGAACTTGGGCAAATTTGTCAATATCTCTGGTCTCAGTTTTTTTATTATGACATATGACTAAAATCATGTCTGATGTGAGGAAAACACCCCTGAAAGCTACAGGAAGAGAGCTGGACAAAGGCAAAGACACTCCATTTTTGTTTTTTAAGAGGAAAATTTGTACAAGCTGGGGGAGAAGCAGAGGGAAAGGGAAAGAATCTTAAACAGGCTCCATGCTCAGCTCAGAGCCCAACAGGGGGCCCAATCTCGTGACCCTGATCCTGACCTGAGCCAAAACCAGAAGTCGGAGGCTTTAACCAACTCAGCCACCCAGGAACCCCAACATTCCCAGTTTTTGGATAGCATGACTCAGTATCATAAACTGTCCATTCTTTCTAAGTTAATGTAAAATTTAACACAATCCCAAGAAAGACACAAATAAACTTTCTTATGGAGGTAGACAAGTTGATATTAAAAATCATATGGAAAGACATGGCATGATGAAAAAAATCATAAATAAAGTCAAAGACAACAAATTTTGATAAAGTGTTCACAACATAACTCTAACTATAGATAGAATACTATTATTGCTAATATACAAAGAACTTAATAACTGAGGGGAAAAGAATTTTTAAAAACTCACTAAAATGGAGAAAAGGCAAAAGAAGGCCATCTATAACCACCTTATAAAAATGACCTCTGAGGGGTGCCTGGGTGGCTCAGTGGGTTAAAGCATTTGCCTTCGGCTCAGGTCGTGATCCCAGGGTCCTGGAATTGAACCCCGCATCGGGCTCTCTGCTCAGCAGGGAGCCTGCTCCCCCCATTCCCCCCTCTCTCTCTGTCTCTCTGCCTACTTGTGATCTCTGTCAAATAAATTTAAAAAAAATCCTTAAAAAAATGACCTCTGAATATAGGAAAAGGTATTTAATCTCACTCATAATAAGAGAAATACAAACTAAAACTATACTGGTATATAATTATCAGATGGCAACAATTTAAAAATATGACAACACATTCTGTAGAGAAACAAGCACTCTCATACATTACTGGCAGAAATGCAAACTAGTACAAGTTTTTGGGAGGGAAATTGACAATACCTAAGAAGCTACATCTACATTTACCTTTTGACTCAGCAAGCCCACTTTTTTATTTAATTCCAGTATAGTTAACATACAATGTTATATTTGTTGCAAGTGTACAATATAGTGATTCAGCAATTCTACACATTACTCACTCAGTGCTCATCATGGTAAGTGTACCCTTAATCTTTATCATCTATTTCTCCCATCCCCCGACCCTCCTTTCCTTTGTTGGCCATCAGTTTCTTCTCTAGAGTTAAGAGTCTATTTTTGGTTTGTCTATTTTTTTTCTTTGTTTCTTAAATTCCACATATGAATGAAATCATATGCTATTTGTCTTTCTCTTATTTCAGCATTATACTCTCTAGATTCATACACATTGCAAATGGAGGATTTCATTCATTTTTATGGCTGAGTAATAATCCACTGTATGTATGTATTCTACACCTTCCTTATCCATTCATTTATTGGTAGACACTTGGGCTGCTTCATAATTTGGCTATAATAAACATAGAATATTATAGTGCTATAATAAATATAGGGCTGCATATACCTTTTTGATTAGTGTTTTTGTATTCTTTGGGTAAATAGTAGTGGAATTACCAGATCATACGGTAGTTCTTTTCTTAATTTTCTGAGGAAACTCCATACTCTTTTCCATAGTGGCTGCACCAGTTTGCATTCCCACCAACAGTGCACAAGTGTTCCTTTTTCTCCACATTTTTGCCAACACTTATTGTTTCTTATTATTTTTTTTTATTTTAGCCATTCTGACAGGTATAAGGTGATGCCTTATTGCGGTTCTGATTTGTATCTCCCTGATGAGTGATGCCGAGCATCTCTTCATGTGTCTGTCATCTGCATTGTCTTCTTTGAAGAAATGTCTGTTCATGTCTTCTGCTAATTTTTTCATTGGTTTGTTTTTTCAATGTTGACTTTTATAAGTTCTTTATATATTTTGAATAGTAATCCTTTATTGGATGTGTCATTTACAAATAACTTCTCCCATTTAGTAGGCTCTTTTAGTTTTGTTGATTGTTTCCTTTGCTGTGCAGAGGCTTTTTGAGGTAGTCCCAATAGTTTATTTTTGCTTTTGTTTCCCTTGCCTCAGGAGACATATCTAGAAAAATGCTCCTGTGGCTAAAGTCAGAGAAATTACTGCCAGTCCTTTCCTCTAGGATTTTTATGGTTTCAGGTCTCACATATAAGTCCTTAGTCCATCTTGAGGGTTTTTTTTTTTTTTCATTTTTTTTTCATATGGTATAAGAAAGTGGTTCAGTTTCATTCTCTGCATGTGGCTGTCCAGTCTTCCCAACACCATTTGGTGAAGAGAGAGATTATCTTCTTCCCATTGCATTTTCTTGCCTCCTTTGTTGAAGATAAATTGACCATATAATGATGGATTTACTTCTGGGCTCTCCATTCTGTTCCATTGATCTATGCATCCTATTTTTGTGCCAGTACCTTACTGTTTTGATTACTACAGTTTTGTAGCGTATCTTGAAATCTGGGATTGTGATACCTCCAGTTTAGTCTTTCTTTTTCAAAATTGCTTTGGCTATTTGCAGTCCTTTGTGGTTGCATATAAATTTTAGGACTATTTGTTCTAGTTCTGTGAAAAATACTCTTGGCATTTTGATAAGGGTTGCATTAAATCTGTAGATTGCTTTGGATATTATGGACACTTTAATAATATTTCTTCTTATAATCCATGAGCAAAAAATGTCTTTCCACTTCTTTGTGTCTTTTACAATTTCTTTCATCAATGTTTTATAGTTTCCAGAGTACATATCTTTTACCTCCTTGGTTAAGTTTATTCCTAGGTATTTTATTATTTTTGGTGCAATTGTAAATGGACTTGTTTTAATTTCTCTTTCTGCAGCTTCATTATTTGTGTACAGAAATACAGATTTCTGTATATTGATTTTACAACCTTACTTTACTGAATTCATTCATTAGTTCTAGAAGTTTTTTGGTAGAGTTTTCTATATATAGTATCATGTCATCTGCAAATAGTCAAAGTTTTTTTTTTTTTACCAATTTTTTTTTTTTTACCAATTTAGATGCCTTTTATTTCTTTTTGTGTCTGATTGCTGTCTCTAGGACTTCTGATACTATACTGAAGAAAGGTGGTGAATGGATACCCTTGTCTTGTTCTAGACCTTAGGGGGAAAGCTTAGTTTTTCAGCATTACGGTGTTCACTGTGGATTTTTTATATATGGCCTTGTTATACTGAAGTACATTCCCTCTAAAACTATTGTGTTGAGGATTTTTATCATGGGTAGATGCTGCACTTTGTCAAATGCTTTTTCGGCCTCTATTGAGATGATCATAAGGTTTTCATCCTTTCTCCTGTTGATGGGATGTATCATGTTCGTTGATCTGCAACTACTGAACTACTCTTGCATCGTAGGAATAAATACCGCTTGATCATGGTGAATGACTTTTTTTTAAAATGTACTGTTGGACTCAGTTTGCTACTGTTTTGTTGAGGATATCCACATCTATGTAAATCAGTTATTGGCCCATAGTTCTCTTTTCTGGTAGTGTGTTTATCTGGTATTGCTATCAGGTTAATGCTGTCCTTATGAAATGAATTTGGAAGCTTTCTTTCCTCTTCTATTTTTTTGGAATAGTTTGAGAATAAGCATTAACTATTCTTTACATGTTTGGTAGAATTTACCTGTGAAGCCATCTGTCACTGGATTTTTAATTTGTTGGAAGGTTTTTTTTAATTACTAATTTAATTTCATTGCTGGTAATTAGTCTGTTCAAATTTTCTATTTCTTCCTGATTCAGGTTTGGGAGGTTACATGTTTCTAGGAACATATCCACTTCTTCTAGGTTATCCAATTTGTTGGCATATAATTTTTCATAATATTCTCTTATAATCTCTTTGAATTTCTGTGGTGTCGGTTACTATTTCTCCTCTTTCATTTATGATTTTGATTCTGTTCTCTCTCTCTCTCCTTCTCTCAAGTCTGGCTAAAAGTTTATCAATTTTGTTGATCTTCTCAAAGAACCTGGTTTCATTGATCTATTTTTATTTATTTATTTATTTTTAGTTTCTATACTATTTATGTTCCGTTATTATTTCCTTCCTTCTGCTCACTTTGGGTTTTGTTTGTTCTTTTCCTAGCTCCTTTAGGTGTCAGGGTAGATTATTTGAGATTTTTTTTCTTCTTCTTCTTGAAGTAGGCCTCTATTGTTATAAACTTCCCTCTTAGAACAGCTTTTGCTGCATCCCTAAGATTTTAGGTCATTGTGTTTTCATTTTTGTCTTCATGTATTTTTTTTTTATTTTCTCTTTGATTTCTTGTTTGACCTTTTATTGTTTAGTAGCATGTTATTTAACCTCCATGTATTTGTGTTCTTTCCAGATTTTTTCTTGTGGTTGATTTCTAGTTTCATACTATTGTGATTGAAAAAGATGCATGATATGACTTCAATCTTTTCAAACTTGTTAGGAATTGTGTTGTGGCCTATTATGTGATCCATTCTGGAGAATGTTCCATGTGCACTTGAAGAGAATGTGTATTCTACTGTTTTAGGATGGGATGTTCTGAATGTATCTGTTAGAGCCATCTGGCCCAATGTGCCATTGAAAGCCACTGTTTCTTTGTTGATTTTCTGTTAGGATGATTTCTCTATTGATGTATGGGGGTTTTAAAGTACCCTACTATTATTGTATTAGTATCAAATACTTTTTTTTGTTGTTTTTAGATTTTATTTATTTGACAGAGAGAGACACAGTGAGAGAGGGAACACAAGCAGGGGAGTGAGAGAGGGAGAACCAGGCTTCCCACCAATGTGGGGCTCAATCCCAGTATCCTGGGATCATGATCTGAGCTGAAGATAGACGCTTAACTACTGAGCCACCCAAGTTCCCAGTATCAAATACTTTATGCTCATTATTAACTGCTTTATGTATTTGGGTGCTCCCATGATGGGCACCTACATATTTACAATTGCGATACTTGGATTTTTCCCTTTATGATTATTATAGAGTCCTTCTTTGTCTCTTGTTAAAGTCTTTGGAGTCTATTTTTTAATTGACATATAATGTACTATTGGTTTCAGAGGTACAAGTCTGTGTCCCATCAGTTTTATATAATACCCAGTGCTCAACATGTCACATGCCCTCCTTAATGTCCATCACCCATTACCCCATCCGTCTACTCGCCTTGACCCTGAGCAACCCTCAGTTTCTTTCCTATGGTTAAGTCTCTTCTGGTTTGTTTCCCTCTCTGGTTTCATCTTGTTTTATTTTTTCTTCTCTTCCTCTGTGATCCTCTGTTTTGTTTACTTTAGAGTCTATTTTTTCCAACATATGTATTGCTACCCTGGTTTTCTTTTCACTTCCATTTGCATAATAAATGCTTTTTCATCCCCTCACTTTCAATCTACATGTGTCTTTAGAACTGAAAGGTTTCTCTTGTAGGCAGTATACAGACGGGTCTTGCTTTTTTATCCACAGCAAGTCCACTTTTAAGAATTTATCCAGAAGATACCCCTCCAATACAAAAATACATTTGCATGAGTTATTAATCATAGCATTGTTCATTGTTGCAAAATATTGAAAACAATGTAAATGTCTAAATATAGGAGAGTGGTTAAATAAGTTACATACATCTACACAGCTGTAAGAAGGAAAAACTACAAGAGAATTTCTATGAACTAATATGGACAGTTTTCCAGGCTACATTAAGTAGAAATAAGTACAAAAGAGTACTATTTATGTGCCACCTTTTATAAAAGTGAGAGAAATAAAATATACATGTATCTACTCATTTCCATCCCCCCCAAAAAAAAGATAACCTGAAACTAAAGATTACTTACTTACAGAAATAAGGGGGAGAGGCATGTGGTACAAGGGATGACGGGGACAGGGGAAGAAACAGTTCCCTGAGGATAATTCTTTGTACAGTTCTGATTCTTAGAAACCATGATAATATTTCATACACCAAAAATACAAATAAGGGACTCAAATCAAGCAGAATGAGAGGAGAACCCAAAATTCATACAAATAATAACAAATGAGCCTAACTCTATTACAAATTACACTACTGTGAAGGGGGTGGGGAAGAAAAGAGTAAACCTAAAGAAGTTTGAAAACAGTATTTTGACTATGTGCTCTTAAGAATAAGACAAAAGGAGCTGTACACAACCATTGTATATGAGTTAGTAACTTCCTCCACTCCTCTAAAGGCGCATAAGTTATTAATTCTGAAAAGTTGTATTTTTTAGGACTGTGCAAACAAGTAAATAAACTTTGAGTAATGAGAAACAGATTTCTTACCTTCAGGGAAAGGAGTTACAAATAAGAAAAAGTATAACCATAACCATTTTAATTTTTAGAGTTATTTTTAGAAAAATGACCCCAGGTTTAGAGCAGGGAAAGTACAAAATAGGTCTGGAACATCCTGTGGTTGAAAAAGAAGTGCTCAAAAAAATAATGGGCAATGTCAAAAAGACACAGACATCAACTTGAGGCTCCCAGTCATTAAATGTGGGCCAATATGAAAAACAAAATAAATGATGGAAATGGATTAGAAATATAGAATATATTGAGAAATATATATATGAGAAAAAAAGGAAAAGTTCTTTACAGAATTTTAATTAATAAATGTCAAAAAATTATGGAAATAAAAAATTCATTTGGCAATTAGTGGGTTAATATAGGAAAAGGTATAGGGTATTTACATAGTTTTAAAGTATTTCTTTATAAGATACTAATTAAGTACAAAGGGAAAAACAGTTACTTTATAGTAGAGAAATCCATTAGACACTACCTTAACCAAATGATCAAAATTAACATCACTAGGAATAAGCTACATCAACATCAAAGACTCTAAACACAATAAACTGAAAAAATTACAATGTCACTTCTGTGGTATTTATATGTATAATATGAATATAATCATTATTGATTTAATCATTATCTAGATCCTGGTCCATAAAATGGGCATTCATGGGATAATTGGCAAAAGTTGAATAATGTCTGTAGATTAGTTAATAGTATAATATCAATGTTAATTTTCTGATTTTGAAAATTATACTGTATTTAAGTAAAATATTAATACTTAATGAAGCTGAATAAAAGGTATATGGAAATTTAATACTATATTTTGTACCACTGTTGCAAATTCTTATTAATCTGAAACTACTTCAAAATAAAAATTAAAAAATACTAAAAAGAAAAAAATCCTGCCATCTATGGTTATATAAAATTTTGTTTTTAAAGATACAACCTGACACCCTCTCAGAAAAAAAAAAAAAAGATATTTTCTTCTCAAAATAAAAATATTCAAAACATTTTGCTTTGTGAAAACTAAAAAATATACATGGAAAGGTATATATATATATAAAAGATTTTATTTATTTGAGAGAAAGAAAGAGTGCATAAGCTGGGGGAAGGAGAGGCAGACTCACCGCTGAGCAGGGAGCCTGATGCAGGGTTCCATCCCAGGACCCTGGGATCATGACCTGAGCTGAAGGCCGACCCTTAACCGACTGAGCCACCCTGGCGTGCCTGGAAAGATTGTTTTTAATATAAATTCTCCCCAAGATTAGTAGGTTCCCTGACTCATTATTTTAATTTTCAAATTACTGTTCATATTTTCAGAGGATATGATCAAAGTAATGATATAATATTTCTATGAATAAACTCCTAGTGATTGTACCCCAATGGTCATTGTCTTACAATCTAATTTTATGTATATGTTGTTTTAGGCAACAGTTGTCAGAGTTCCTTCTCTGCCCAAGCTATCAGCTATAATGTAGCAGTAAAGAAGAGCTGACCCACATGCAACAAGTACTCAGGTGCAATTTTGAAGTTTTCTTCTCTATTTCAGAAAAAAAGGTAGAGAAATGGAGAACAGGATAAAGGCCTGGAATCCCCTGCTCCAGAAAGGTAAGGGCAATTTTGCCAACTATAATACCCTTCACTACTCTGCTTACTTAATTAACCTTCTCAGTCTCAGGTTATGCTGAAGCGTGCTTTAGTTTCTCAAAATATATTTATTTACAACAAACAGCTAATTAGGATGAATGCTTTTTAAATTTCATTTTAATGAAACATTTTGCTTTGGAGAACTCAAATGAAACCACAGCAAGTCCTCTGATTTTACCACCAGAGGGCATGTGACATTAAGAAATAGGGCAAACAAAGGCTACTTGCTTCTGAGATTCTCTGATTTTATGGTTTGAAATCTGTAGCTAGCCACTTCCAGAAATAAACTCATTTGGAAGACAAATAAGGTATGTGCAGATGAAGATAGGAAGAGGTTAGGAGGGAAAAACTCACTTTTTTATAAGAATGTAATCCTCAACCTTGTTCTCAAAAGTACTCACCTACATTCATTAATTAATTACAATATTGATTTAGGTTAAACACTCCATTCAACATTGAAGGAGGTTGGCAGTAATGACTTGTGATGTTTCCTCTCCTGGTGATGTTTAAGAAAAATATTGGCTGGCTAATGCAACTGAATCTAGAAAATGAGGGATGAGCTAGTCCAAAATCAATGAATCCGAGGTCTTTGAGTTCAATTAGTGTATGGATCAGTGAACATCTCTGTAAATCAGGTCCACCCCCTCCCTGTGACCAGCAGGTGCATATCGTGGGTCACAGAGAGAATGCAGAGAGCACCAGGCCAGCCCCATGCTAGAGAACTGAAACAAAATGAATGCTCATTCCATTGATGTTGGGTTGATGAGATCTCCTTACAAATATATGGCATTTTGATCTTGAAGTTAGAAATTACTTGGAATAAAAAAAATTAAATTTTGCTGTTCCTCTTGTAATCATTCCCCCATCTCCCCCTCTCTTATTTCTATTGCCTTTCCCACGTAAGTCCCAACCTCCCACTTTTTATTCTTTGATTGGCAAATACATGGAAAAGGTGATGAATTATTGATTTTAATGGTTTAAAACTTATTTCAATTCTGCCGATAGTTGTGCTGAAACAGTCTGAAGGGGAAGGTGATCTTGGGCTTGGACTTGAATCCAACTGGTCTCTGCATGAAATGGCACCTCACTCAGTCATTATACTGAAGTCATTTCCTCCACATTGCATAAAAATCCTGTGTTCATTCCACAGGTGAGAAATTTTGAGGGAAATTGTGCATGTTAGTGGGAATCAGTAGGATATTTCTGTAGCAAAACAGTCCACGTTAGTTTGAGGATGGTCATGACTAATACTGCATTTGTACAGCTGGAAATACCAGTGCACCACATTTTTCTCCCATGATGTTTCCAAATCTCTCTAAACAGGTAAAAGCAAACTAGAGAGCTAATTTTCTTGACAGTTTAGCCAATAACTGTATATTTGTATAAAGGCTAAGGGTCAAGAAGAATGGCTGTGCATTATTTGGAATGTTTTATATTATGTAACATGTTTATAATGTTTCTTTTTTACTTTTTCAGAATAGTCCCAGAAATAATTACATAAATGTTCTGCATTGCCTAAAATTTACTAAAGTCTATTTTTTGCTAATATATCTCATTATTCAATCCTACTTTATCACCTTCAGCTTTTTAATCAGTCTTTTATTATAAGATTTAGTGTTCCTCTTTAGATGTGGGTGCTGCTGAGCCCTACCTCTGTCTAACTGACAGATGAAAATCATCTATTAAATCTGCCAATTCTGACTGTTCTTACTGCTATGATACCTTCAAGAACCAAATTCTTCTTTAATGAAGTTGAGTGGGTTTCAAAAGCAAACCTGCCTTCATCACATTTTGGGCCACCTAGGGCCTGCTCAGTGTGAAGCCAATGGAAATTGATCCTATTCTTTTGCTCTGAGCATCTGACTAACCTCTGTGAGTCCATATTGGAAATGACAGAGAGAAAGATACCATACCATGTGCTTAACAGAGTTCACTTTCCATTCCCCAATCACTCATTTGTATGCCCATATGCCCCTTGGTAACCCCACATCACATTCTTCCCTTCCTGAACTCAGGTCAAATGGATTTCTTCCTTTCTCAAATGTGAATGCCTCTTTTGCTTCAATGCTTACAGAATTATACTGTTCTGGGGAGTATCCAAGGCTAAGTTAGTTTATATGTAGCAACTATTTTTAGGGCAGCCAGATTTTGCTGACATCCAAGAATAGAATGTTAGGGTATTCTGGAAATAACCTCACCCTAAGCATTCAGATTGAGATTGAGGTCACAACTTCACACCTGAGTAGGCTTCAATATGTTCCTCGGGTAGCAGGGTTGGAAACTCCAAATACTACCTAGATATATGAAGAATACATAGCTTCTTTATTTTCTATCACAGATTTACTCTTCCTTGCAAACATTCACCTCACTGGGTACCAGGGAATTAAAAACACTCTTTTAAACTTGCCAATATTAGGTATTGTTGTCTCTTCTCTTTTAAATTGACTATTCTATGATCCATTTTCTTTTGGATAAATGTTGAATCTTTCCAACTTCCTTTCTCTTCCTTTGGTCTTTCCAAAGATGGGGAGCATGGAGCTGATATCAGAAAGATCTAGGCATGACAGAGTCCTCTTGAGCCACAGTGAATGGTTTGGTCTCCTCCCAGTCAGTGTGTCACTGGGTCCACACTGGCCTTTAGTGTCAGCAATATTATGCTGGCACTAACTCTACTTCTGACCATTTGCCTCTGATGTGTCTTCTCACACTGCTGCAATTTGTGCATCTTCAGGCATCTGCAAATTCTTTGGTCTTCTAAGCACCAACACATCCTCTCACGGAAGACTAAGAGACCTTCCAGAACCCCTAGCAGTCAAAGTTCGGTCTCATCCATCTAGCCACTTGCCAAGGCCACAATCATTCCATCACTTCACATGTCTGAAAGGGTCTTTCCTCCAGAGTTTCAGGCAGTGATAGGGGAAAAACTGGACTCTGCTTTGAACTTTCGAAGAGGATACATATACTGAAAAAATTGTGGCCCTGATTTTCTTTCCTTTCTTCCTCAGCATTCCACAGCATAGAAGGGAAAATATCCCATTGCCTATAAGGAACTTCTTTTTATATCCTCTTTGCATACCCTCTCTTTTTATATCCTTTCTGAGGTGGTATTGTCTCTTTTTCTAAAGTCATAACAGTGGACAGGTTGCAGAGAGAGAAGCTAGTTCACTCACCAAGGAAGATGCATCTGGAGAGATTCCAAAAATATTCTGTCATACCTAACTTGTATATAATCTTCCGTTTCCTCGGCCAAAAAATAGAGAAAATAATACCTGGACCCAACCTCCACGGAGAAAGAGCTCTGTCTCACTCTTGAAATCCTTCTGGATAAAAACTCTAGGAAGTGGAATTTTATAGATAGTGGAATTTTATAGATCTCTATTTCATGGAGGGTTTGTCCTCTCAGGATGTCTATGCTAACACACAATTCTACCTGCCAGATTAGCCGTAAGATAGCATGCCACACACATGCACGTGCGTGCATGCACGCACACACACACACACACACACACAGAGAGCCATTCTCCACTCATACCCTCCCTTTTCTTCATAAATGCCCTTCAATCTGTGTTAGGCTCAAACAGCAAGACACTGATTAAAATTTCAATACAGTTACAAGTCTAGTGAGTTGACTTTTCTTAGATGATTCAAAAACCTTAAAAACACAACTTATAAGAACCTTTAAGAGACAATTATTCATTCAATAAATATTTTGTGCACATCTACTATGTGACAAGTATTGTGCTGGGTTCTTGAATGTATCATAGGTCAAAACTGACTCAAAAACCCACAACAAAACAAAGGAGGCAGAAAAAAACTTTTGGAGATGATGTATGAGTTTATGGTACTGATTGTGGCAAGTTTCACAGGTGTATACTTACCTCCAAATACATCAAGTTGTACACATTAAATACCTTTAATTTTTGTATATCAATCATCCATCAATACAGCAGTTTAAAAAGCAGACTATGACCCTTGCCCTCATATTTGACAAGGGAAAAGGGTGAGGAAAGAGAGATGCAGATAAGCAATATACTTAAGAGATATATATATATATGTATATATATATAAAGTATATTACAATATTACATATTATATATAATATTGTTTATTAGGAGCAGACAAGTAGATTAATAAGTGGAACACAAATTATTACAATGATTAAAGTGGTTATTGTTTTACCCTCACTTAGCATATTAAAGATTACTGACTCACTTATTCATATTTCTCAATTAATTTATACCTTCCAGTATTAAAGTAACCTTTAACCAACAGGGAAAGAAATATTATCTCAGACCAGTAAATGCTCCAGTTTGCAGGTATGATCAATTAAACCTTAATCAAGACACAGACCTTTTTTGAAATTTCCAGTGATTCAGACTTAATCCAGCAGCCATGTTTGCCTTCCCTGCCTGCCCCCCTCCTCTTTCTAGCATCACAGGGCACTTAGCATGTCAGTGGGTCTTTTCAAGACCACATGTTTCTTTTTTTTCCTTTTTTTCTTTTTTACATCTTTCACAGTTTTGGTTTCTAGAAATCTGTCATGTTTTTCTGAAATGACGTTCTTAAAGGTTTACTTGGCCAGCAAGACACACTGTTGTCCTTTCATTATTATAAATAATTCTGGAATGATTTGTTAGCATTATGATCAACTTATGACCTCTTGTTAGCATCTCTTGATAATTAGTCCAATCAACCAAGAGGTTTTGTTTCCTAAAAAATGAGAGATTGTATTTACTATGGGTAATATGGTGAATCTATCTTCTTTCAACCCTCAATTTCTACCCATGTATTCCTACACTGCTGGTCACAATCTTTCTTATTCTTGGTATATTTCTTACTTTTTCAGAACTTCTAGAATTACTCATAATTCTCTTTACCTTGCCTATGTACAGGAAAAGTAGATATCTATGTTTAATAAAGGACCATATATTCAATAAAAGAAAGAGAATACTCATATATGT